TTTGTAGGGTTGCCAGACTCCAGGTGGCACCTGGAGATCTCCCACTATTACAATGTATCTCCAGATGACCAACATCAGTTCCTCCGGAGAAAATGGCTGCTTGGAGAAAATGGAGGGTGAAACTCAATGTCCTTCTACCCTGCTGAGGTCCCGCCCCTAGCCAATGCCCCCTCTCCAGGCTCCACCCCCAAAATCTCCAGGTATTTCCCAACCCAGGCTACAGGAGATCAGCTGCAATTCCAGGAAATCTCCAGCCACAACCTGGAGCCTGGCAACCCTATCTCATGCTCCTGAGTGCTTTTTGCCCCTGGTCCCTGCCAGTGTTCCCTCTAAGCTGAGTCAGTGTGAGCTAGCTCACAGTTTTTAGCCTCCGGCTCACACATTTTTGCCTTCGCTCAGGAAGGATGGCTCCAGGGCACACTAATTTATGCAGCAGCCAAATCACTCGCTCACAACTTTGATGCCAGCAGCTCACAAAGCAGAATGTTTGCTCACAGGACTCCACAGCTTAGAGGGAGCAGTGGTCCCTGCCAGGGTACCTTTAGAGTGCCAGGTGGCACTTTGCAGCCAGTTTTAGGTAGACCCAAGTGACTTTCTCCCAGGTTGGTTTCCTGAAGAGAGCTGGGGCCTGTTGACCTTTCAAGGTGTTCTCCAGAATCGCAAGCATTGTTAGGGTCAGCATCAAGCACTTGCTGCGCACTAATTTTGGCAGCCACAGGGTCAGCAAGCACCATTTCCCATAACGAGTCACACCCTTTCCCATAACAAGGGGCAAATATGTTTCACGTTCAGCTTCCTTCTTTGTCATCACGGGGCAGGGAGGCTTACTCTGCCAACTGTATTTCTGATGTTCCCATGGGCAGAAGTTGGAGAGGCAGTGGAATCATGCTGTTCCTATGCAGCTCCAAAATAAAAAGCGTGGGCGGATGACAATCCCATGAAAGTGTGGGTGGGTGGGTGGGTGGGTGGGAGAATTCAATGTGCGGCAAGTGAGACTGGGAGAAAACAGATTGCCCCAAGAAGCTGTTGCCATGGCTATTTCACCTACAACTGCATCAGCAACAACAGTGTTCCCTCTAAGCTGAGT